ACCCTACCACAGAGTGGGCACCACTGTACCCATTTCACAGGTGAGGCAAATGAGGATTAAGGTCACTCAGCTATTGGAGCTGGGATTTCAAAGCCCCAGGTTGGTTGCACCCTCACCCCAGCCTCCCCCTGTCAGTTTCCAGGTGATTGTGATTTTACTGAGGGGCAGTTGAGGAGGTGTTCTTCCCCCTCATTCCTTAGCCCAACGGAGTTCCGGGGCCAGACATTTCACCCCAAACCTCTGCATACTAAACAGCTAAAATGGTCGCAATGGAGCCCTTCCCTGTTGGGGACACCTCTTTGCCAGCTAAAGTGAGGACTCTCTGGGCGTTAGTCTTCCCCTCAGTAGAACGGAGGCCATAACTTACGTCTGTCCCGCCTGAAGAAGAGGAGTGTGGAGACCACCAACGGAAGTGTAAAGCCACAGGAGGGCTTTGCCATGGTCCACTCAGGGCCCACCCAGGGCTGGGAGTGGCCAAGGGCAGTGGGAGGGCTCATCTCAGAAGCCCGCACTTCTGCCTGTCCTGTTGCAGGTGCTGCCCAGACGCTTGTCTTCCTGGTACGGCCTGCTGAGGGGTGGCTGCTGTGCTGACCTCAGTCTCAGACTCAGGAAGAAACTTCCTGGGGGAGGTAACCAGAGCCAGAGAAGTGGTTTCTCCGGCGGGGGAGGCGCACCTGCCCAGGCCTGTCTGACCCCATGGGGATTCTTGGGAAGAGTCTCTTCCTCTGAGCCAAGCCGATGGGCTTGAGAAGTGAGCCTCACCCACTGACGTGCAAGGCTTGGGGGAGAGAGAGAGGAGTCTGAGGCTCGTGTTGGAGGACGGTGTATGATGGATGGCTCTGTTCCAGAGCAGTCACTTTCCTGGGGCGGTGGGGATGTGGAGGTGAGGAGGAAGAGTGAAAGCTTTAAAAAAAAAGATTGGTCAGAGGCTGGGCCCACATCCTACCTTTCTAGTTCCCAAAGCTTCCAGACGGCTGCCCTGGCTGCTTCCAGGGCCCTCGGAGCAAACACGCAGAACATTCAGCATGCTGTGTTCTCCCACACAAAAGCCCTGGCCTCCCACAGATCTTCCTCCATTGTGTTTCCAGGGGGAGGGCCCTTTTCCTCAAGATACTGTAACTTCTCCTCGTGACAAGTAGGCTTTCATGGGCTTTCAGGTGCCCGGGCCTGGAGAGAGACGCCCACAATGGGCTTGGTGTGCAGAGGTCACAATACCCACATTATGGCGGCCGCTCCTGCGAGCCTGGGAGATCAAAGGCCTGGGAACCAAGTCCCCCACAAAGGGGCTGAGGACCGCCTCATCCAGGCTCTGCTTCTCTGGGGGTTTGAAAGGAGCTGCCATTGCTCACTCGGGTGCAAGGGGATGAATGCCAGAGCTCAGTGGGGCGCCTGGGGAGTGAGGAAGGAATAAAGGCCCCCCGGGCCCCACCCCGTGTGAAAGGCAGAAGGAGGCGGTCCGGAGGTGGGTGCTGGCCGTGGTGGCAGGACCCGGAGCCTCTCCCAGCTCAGAGGGCATCACTACAAGGAAAGGACCCATTTCAGCCCCCAGGAGGTGCCCACAGCTTAATCAGTCTCTTTAAGGGAGAGTTCCTTCTCTGAGTGGCAGGGCCTGGCTTTCCCTGGTACAAATAAGAAGGAGGCGGGGAAGGTGGCGGGCAGCACCAGTGTGGGTAGCTGTCTCAGCTCCCAGCCCAGTATGTGGCCTGACCCCACTGGGGACGCAGCTGACGTGCTTGTCTGAGGTTGGCTCTGGAGTCTGGTGGGAGCTTATCGAGGGAACACTGTCTGCCGAGGGGACTCAACACAGCCCAGCGGCCCCTGTGGTCTCCGTTCTGCCCACACCCAGTCCTGGGAACCAGAACGTTCCACCCAGAAGGCAGAAGAGTCCTAGGCCGCTCCTGTGAGTCATGAGCAGGGAAGAGCCATCAGGAGAGAGGCAGGGCCGGCCACAGAAGGAACAGGGCCTTGAAACCACAAGGGCCTGGCTTCAGCTGTGTGGCCTGGAGTAAGTTACTTGATGTCTCTGAGCTGCAGAGGGCTGAGCACAGAGAAGGAAGAAGGGGCCCTGTCCGAGCACAGGACCCAGGCAGAGCTGCTCCCTGCTGTGTTACGGGCCCCAGCTAGAGGGTGGCCTGGCCTCCTTGGAATCATTCCAGATGAAAAATTGTGCCTCTCCCTGGGAGCCCAGACCACATCCTGGCGCTTGCCGTGCTGGGTGGTCCTGCCTGATGATTTGTCAGTCTCCCTGTAGACTGTCAGCTCATTGGGGGCAGGGAACACGTGGGGACCCTCGTACCCCAGGCCCTAGCACAGTTCTCGGCTCTGAGGGAGTGAATGAGTGAATGTCTGGGTTCTGTCCGTCAGTCGCTCTGGAACAGACCCCTCCGAAATGACTGCTCTTTAGGACTTTTCCTCCTGGCTCCCCAGCAAGTTCCTGCCTTTACCTCCACCCTGTCATTTGTTGACCTTGTCTTTTTTTAATTCCATTTTAGTTACCATACAGCGTTGTATTAGTTTCAGGTGTACAATAGAGTGATTCGGTAACTCCGTACTTGTTGACCTTGTTCTAACAGATCTTTGTGTGCAGGCTTCCCAAGGGGCAGAAGCGGGGGCTCCACCATCAGCCCTCGGCTTGAATCCTGCTTCCATCCCTAACTGGCTGCAAGGTTAATTAGCATCTTGACTTCAGATTCCTTTTCTGCAAAATGGTCCGAAGACGAGCATGGCAGTGAAGCACCCCCTTTTTTGATACAGTACCTCGCCCACAGTAGATGCTCAGCTAGTGATTGCTCCCAAGACCCTACCCCCCACCCCATACAGGCACACACGTACACGCACGTGTGCTGGGCTCGGGCCCCTGTAGGCGGGTCCCGTGGCAGGTTCGCATTTCTCCCTCTCAGCAGTGACTGCAGTGTTTTGCAGGTCGCAGCTCAGAGTGTTTGTTGAAGGAGGAGACAGGTGTCGTGGGACCCCTCCCCACTGTATTTCCAGCTCTCAGCAGCAGCTGAAGTGGCCTCTCTTGTTTTTGCTCCCTGTTAACCCCCCCAAGGACTTTGGGCCTCTGGGCTAACTCAGTGTGAGAAGAGAGACGGATAATGGCAGGCACCCATCTGAAACACCTTTCCTGGCTCATTCTGCCGGGCTGGGGCCCCTGGAAATCATCAAACAGATCGTCATTTCCTCTAGAGATGCTGCATGGGTCCACCGTCTATCCTCCAGGCCCTCAGCTTACCCTGTGTCCTGGGCCCAGCCTTAGCTCCAGCTCACTTCTCTTCCTGGGTCTGCGTGTGAGAAAGGCTCACCGAACCGTCTAGTCCAGTCTCCGGCCCAGCTGGTTGAGGGTTTGGGCCACAACAGATTTTGCAACTGCCAATCATAGGTGCTTGCTTCTAATGGCTAGCAGGAGACAAATGAATTGTTTTCAAGGGCATTATTTTTAAGGATGGTTCTTTAATGGGACCCCAGCTTCTTTGAACCCTTCTGGTGCCTCTGTCTTATAGTTACCGATTTTTGTGATCATAAAAGTAATACATGGTTATTGTAACACTGTGGGAACATTATAGAAACGTTGAGGGTATGAGCCCCCATTCTCCCGAGAGAACCTCGGCCAATGCTTGGCATGGATTCTTCCTTCTTGATTGCTCCTTGCCATTTTGTCTCCTATTCGTTCTTCCCCAAAGAGAAGAGCCGCTGACCCAGCCCTCCTGGCCAATACCAGCCTCTTGTTCAGCACCTCCTGGGGGGTAGCATTTGCTGTTCTTGGCGTCCGAGAGGAATGTGTCTTCCGCGGGCATCCGTGGAGCCCTGAGACAAAGTATTATGCAGTGGGGAAGGTCTGGGCACTGCTGTTCAGAGCCTAAGAGATTGGGCTGAGCCTCAGTCTTCCTCATCTGAACAATGGGAAGAGTGAGGAGAGCCCTGGTGTTTCAAAGGGAGATAGGGACTCAGCAGTGAGAAAATGGATGGGAACACTCGGGAAAATTCTACATATTATTCTTTGGTTTTGAGAAGTAATTATTATTACCTGTCAGCTCCCTTGGGGCTCAGAGCCAACAGACTTGGTGACTCAGTCCTAAGACTTCGGATTTTATCCTCTCGTCATTGGATGTGCATCTGTGCGTATATGTGGACCTATAAAACTGTCAAGTGACAGGAACCCCTGAGAGCCTTGCAGATGGACATGGCAGGTCTCACTGCAATGCCCATCTAGGAGCATGAGCTCTGGAAGTGATGACGGAGTGTGTCCGGGCCCTCCAGACTCACAGGAAGAGCCGAGAGTAAACTAAAGCAGAGTGGGCCATGTGTCCCCAAGGACAGTCTCTGAGCCGCATGGTTTGCTTTCCCTTTAGAAACTAGGTCTTCCCCTGGGATCCTGTCCATGTGCAGGAACACCACCCCTGTCATGCTTCTCCCTTCCTGCCCACTGCCTCCCCCTGCTGAGAAAGGGATGGGTTTCTTTTGGGGTCTTCAGGGTCTCAGGGACGTGGGAGCCGTGGAAAGTGGGGCCAGATGAGATGCGGTAGGCGGCTGGCCGGCTGGGAGAGGTATGCACTGGTAGAAAGAGGGACGTGTAACAGAACCCACTTGGTCCTCGGCCCTCCATTCTCGCTGGGGTCCTCTGGCCAGCTCATGATACAGATGCAGTGCCGATGTGGGGGAAGAGGTGTGGTGCCTCTTAAGGAGCAGGGGGAGGTAACCGGACCGAGACTGAGGGGATGTAGGCTTGTCGTGGCCCTGGCTTTCCTTACTTCTGGCCCCTCAGGCTCCAACCCTGCGTAGCTCCTGCCAGGTGCATCTTTCTGGAGCACAACCCCCAACCTGCCCCGTCCCCCCACGGCTTGTCTGATCACAGAAGGTTCCATCTGGCTTTCAAGGGCCCTCCTGCCTGTTTGTGCACGTCTCCACTGTTTCATGTCTTCCATGTTCCAGCCAGGCTGTGGCCGGATGGCGCACCTGGCTCAGCACCAGAAATGCTGTGTGTCCAGCATCTGGAATGATGCTGTCCCTCCCCCCAGCTCCAGTATATGTCCTCCCTGACACATGGATCCGCTTTTTCCTGCCTCGAAACCCCTTGTCCTTCCCTGGAGGTACTCAGCCTATTCTAGTTATGTGTGCTTCGTGTGGGGGTGTCTAGGAAGAGCAGGGTCTGCAGTGGGACCTCACTTCACTCCCAGCTGCACTGTGGCCTAGCTGTGTGCACGTAGGTCAATTATCACCGCTCTGATACTCCGTTTTCTCATCTGTAAAGTGGGAGCTAATAGCATATCATGACTTAAGGTCAGTTTTTAGGAGGAGTCAAAAGATGATTGCATGTCAAGGCTTAGCGTAGTTTCTGGAATGTGCGGAGTGCTCAGGCAGCAGTGGTTTTCCAATAATTTGTGGCCAGGCCTCGTCTTCGGGGTCTGCCTCCACGGGGCCATCTGCGGAGTCTCGCCCATCCCTTGATGGTGCCAAGGGCTGCTGGAATCGCATATGACTTGAACAGAACGCAGGTCACAGCCCCTTGATCTGGTGGGAGGGGCACCGTGGTCCCGGTCAGGATGATTTGGAGGATGTCCCACGGCCCTCGCTTTGACAGCTGAGGTCCCCTAAGCTGGACTTAGGCTTGAGGGGCTAAGTCATCTCCTGTCACCGGGGAGGCCCCTACTTCCTGCTGAACAGAGCCAGAGCGTGTCTTCTAGAAGCTGGTCCAGCCAGTGCCCAGGCCTTTAGCGGAGACTGGTTGAAAGGAAATGTAGGGCGAATGCAGTGAAGCTCAGGCGGCAGCTGGGAAAGAGAACCTGACGCGCCCTGGGAAGCCCTCTGGGGCACCCCCGCTCTGTCCCCGCATGTCCACGCTTCAGGTTCCTCCCCTGCCTTTCGGCACGTCTGTACCTCAAGCTGTTCCTGGGCATGGAGCCACCACGTCCCTGTTGCCCCAAACACAGGAGCAGGTCTTGCCCCCCCTCCCCAGTGACAGTCTTTGCTGGTTTTTCTCTTGCAGCCAGACGCCACTCCAGGGTCCGGCCCAAGGTCACGGGCCTGAGCTACGCCTGCCCGACCCCCGCCCTCAGCCGGCCCCTGAATGAGACGGCTCTGACCCCCCTGGCGGAGCAGGAGGGCGAGGCCTACCTGGAGAAGTGCGGCGGTGTCCGGCGGCACACGGTGGCCAACGCCCACTCGGACATCCAGCTGCTGGCGATGGCCACCATGATGCACTCGGGCCGGGGTGAGGAGCCTGGCGGGGAGGACGAGGGCCTGCTCCTGCCGCCCAGCTTCTCGCCAACGCACCGGCAGTGCTCCAGCGAGCCCAACATCACCGACAGCCCCGATGCCCTGCAGCAGGGGGCCGCGGGCAGCCAGGGGGACTCCGAGCTGAACTGTGCTTCCCTCGGCTGAATGCCCACCCCCAGGACCTCCCAGCCCCGGCCCGACCACTGGCGGGAGCAGGCTCCGTGCCCCGGGCAGGGGCGGGTGGGGCAGAGCTCCCCAAGGGGCTCCTCCTGGAGGCCTAGTCCAAGTGTCCTGGTTGTGAACCTCTCCGTTTTCGTGACTGTGACCCCCCTCTTGGCAGCCACACAGACCCAACTGCCTGATGCTCACTTTCTGCTTGCCTGACTCCGGATCCTCCTCTGCGGGCCCTGCCCCCAGATCAGTGCTGTCCACGCTCCGACCATATCGCCCAGGGCCGCTGGCTTGATGATCGCGGGAGGTCGGCTGAGCCGCACACAAAGCCCACAGGGATGCATTGGCCTCCGGAGATCCCCTGTAGGTTCTTGTGATGCGGGGCTGCCAGGAGAAAAGAGGTGGTAGAGCGGTACCCCTCCTCCCCTGCTCTGGGTGGAGCGAAAGCAGGCAGCGGCCCCTGCCAAGCACGACGCTGGGAGCGTGCCTTCCTGTTTTACTTTCAGAATTCCTGGAAAAGAGTTGTCCCTCTGGTGGGTGAGGGTCATTCCGCTCGGTATCCAGATCCTACATGCCGCCTTTGACTTTTGGCCCCGGGGGGCCACCCGGCTGGAGAAACGTCCTCTTTGATGAAGCCTCGGCACTCTCCTCTCTGGCCTCCTTCCAAGCTCAAGGAACTAACCTCCCTGGTGGAGTAGCTGGTGCCTTTGTTCCGCTCTGATTTCAGAAACTGACCATTTTCCTGTTATGGGTGCGGGGCCAGTGGATGCCAACCAAGTAGTCTGTTCCTGGATTTGACTTGAATTTTTTTAATGCGCATCGTTTCAAAAAAAAATTTGTTTGCAAATATTTGCACGTAGGTTCTTGCATTGCTCATTTCCAAGGGCGTGTGTCTTCAAACTAGAAAATAAACAACCCCCCCCCCCCCCACTTAGGAAAAGAGCCTGGAAGTGGTTCAGGGTGCAGGTGATCCGTGGTGGGCAGGGCTCATCAGCTGCAGAGTGCTGGAAGCAGCTGGACTTAAATCCAAAATGGCCTGTGTTTGTGAGCATCACGGTCCATAGCACTGAGTTAGGGAGGCTCCGTTTGCCTCAAGAGCAGAGGGTCATAGCAAATGCAATGTCTCAGTGCTTTATAGTAGGGGAAGATGGGGGGAGATGTGGGCAGGACCTTTTGGAGAGAGGTTCGTTCCCTGTGATTAAAGAAGTGCCTGGAATTTCTAACATCTGAGCTCTCAAAATGCTGTTTGGGGCAGCAGGCTTTGGTACTGTGCTGAATCCTTAACACTGTTCCCTCTGGGTCTGGGCTTTTTATCCACCTAGAAGCCCTCTTCTCTTTGTATTTGCCTGTTGGCCCCACCAATAACAGCTCCAGAAAAAAGAGAAGGCTTTCCCGAGTCCTTCTGGTACCTTCTAGGTGTCCTGTTAGTCTTTGGAAACTGTTAATGAGACATGAGCCAGCTTGGCTTCCAATATGGCAGGAGGTGGCTGGGAGAGGACGAGGACAGTGTGAGCTGCCAGCAGGGAAGGCGGCCTTCTAAGCATATCTAAGTCTTGACGGCACATCCCTTCTGGGTGAAGAGCTGGAATATGACCAGAGTCATGCTTTGGATAGCTTGTACTTTTGGAAAGTTAGTTTAAAACGTTGTCTCATTTTTATTCTTCTAAGAGAACGTGGAAAGAAATGTCCAAAGGAGACCTTCTGAGAATTTCAAACAAAAAATAAGGTCTGTGTATGTGTTGGATGAAGTCCACAAATTGACTAACGTGCATTAGCAATAGAACATCAGTAAGTAACAACATGATGATTTATTTGACTGCTGGTGTCTGTGCTTACTGGCACTCGGGACTAGTATTTATCGATCCAGGCGAAGTCATTAATCATGCTTGGGTATGCTTCTTTAGTTTCCAACGTTAATGATACACACGCTTGTAAATGCCTTGTCCTTATACTAAATGCCCCTGATGAGGCCAGCAACCATCGGTTAAACACGTGAGCGCTCAGGCTGAGAACGGGAGTGTCAGTGTAGACCCAGTGTACTTAATTGCTGGCTGTGAGCCAGTTTACAACTTCACCTTTGATGTCTCTGCCTGATCCTGTGCCGTGGGTATTTCAGACTGTACAGAGACACTTTTGTTGATGTTGATGGGCATTTTAGCCATCAGACCTGTCGCGAGCGCGACGGTGGTGGTGCTGGCAAGCACTTTTTCGCCCCTTTATGAGACGAAGCTAGGATCTTCTGGTGGCTGCGTTTTAATGACAGGAAGCTATCACGACTGCAAGCTCTGGGTGAGCTCACAAACCAAAAACCTTTCATGTTGTCTGTTTCCAAAATAGATTCAATAAACATCATTTTGTACACGTCATCCTGTCCCCGTGCTGTGTGGCTTGACTGGATCTGCAAGCGCCGCAGTCCCCGGGCTCTTTATGCATCCTGTCCTCACGCTCTCTGCTGGCCTTCCCTGCCTCCACGTCCCTTTTCCTGTTGCCTCTGCTCCAGGATTCGGCAGCAGCCTTACCTTGGCCGGTGTCCCCCGGGTTTTGTTTGCCATCCTCAGCTGGGCTGGCAGGTCATTTCCTGGACAAGCAGCCCGTCTGCAGAGCTTGAAAAACACCGAACACAGTCTGGGAAGGCCAGTCCTCTTCTAAAGCCAGCTTGGGCTCTTCCCGAGCGTTTGAGCCAGAGGGGACACTTCCCGTGACTCCTCATGGACTCTCTCTTCATATACTCCCCTCCGATTCTGTTTGGCAGATGGAAACTTTAATCTATAATCTGCTACTCTCTGCATAGGTTTTCCTAGGACCGCTGGAGCAGAGTTGACCTGAGATTGAAGGCTTATTAGTAAGAGCATTCAACACGGTGTGACCCAAGCTGATTGGGAATCCTGGGGGATGCAAAGCGGGGCATGTCCATTCGTGTTGAGCCTTCTGAGGCCATAAGGTGAGAGAGAGCTGTGCTTCGGCGGATTTCACCTCATCGGTGCACTGTCACATCGACTCCTACATCTGCTCAGCTACTCACCGAGTATGTGTGGAGCTGCCATCGCGTTGCAGGCCCTTCTAGTGCTGGGGATGCAGCAACGGACAGCCAGGCAAGGGGCCTGCCTGCTCTCCTGGAGACCATCCAACGGGGGAAGGCTGGTGATCAGGTCAACAGATACATTTCAAATAATGACCAACACTGGGAGACATCAAATGACAAAATGCAGTGGCTGGGGGAGAGGAGAGGGCGGCCCTGGGTCGGGTGGCTAGAGAAGTTCTCTCTGCAGTTGACTCGAGCCAGCCTTACGATCGGCTTCTGTTGCCTGTCCCTGCCATCCCAAGTGACCACAGATGGCAATGGCATTGAGTGGTTTAAAACCACACACATTCATTATCACAGTTCTGTAGGCTGCAGTGTGACGTGGGTCTCATGGGGCTAAGATCAAGGTGTCGGCAGGGCTGTGCCCCTGGCCGGAGGCTTGGGGAGAATGCATTCCCTCCCCTTTGCCAGCTTCTGGAGGCCACCTGTATGCTGGGCTTCTGGGCCACCTCCTCCAGCGTCAAAGCCAGCAACGGTGGGGGGAACCCCTCTCAAATCAAGTGCATCGCAGCAGCCTACGTTCTGTCTCCCCCTCCCATGTTTAAGGCCCTGTGATTCCATCGGGCCCACCCAGACAGCACAGCATGATCTCCATCTGGACTGCTAGCATCTCTCCTGGAAGGAGAAAAGCCACCATAGGGGGTGCCCAGGGCCCTGCGGAGATGAAAACTGCAGTGGGCAGGCGGGTGCTGGTCTTGGTGTCCGGGGGCCTTCAAGCCAGACCTCCACCCACCCTGGCCCGGACTCCCACACTCACTAGGATTCTGGAGTCTCTTGCTCAGATCTTTCTCCGATTTCTAATCTCATATGCTTGTCAGGCCCGCATCCTCCCGTCTGGACTTCTGCCACCGGGTACTCCCTGTGTTTGTCTCCAGATTCCATCTCTCCCCATGGGCGGCCCCAGCGGATCTTTCTAAAACCTAGTTAAAACTTCTCCCAGCTTTCCAAAAACATCCACACACCTGAACGTGACTTCAAGGTCCTTTCCAAGCTGACCCCAGCTGGCTTTCTGGCCTCCTTTGCTGCTCTGTGACTCCCTGTGAACAGGTGTCAGGCTCACTGGGTGGTTCAGTGTCCTGGAAGCTGCCCCCTCTCCCTGCGGGCCCTGCCGACCTCTTCTCCAGGTAGGAGATGTTTCTGCCTCCACACGTGTGCAGGTGCTATCCCAGGAAGGCAACAGTATGTGGGATTTGTGTTTGCCTGCCTAGGGCTTAGCAATGCAGAGGAAGTGCTAAGTCAGGTGCATTGGACGAGTTAATGGGACGGTGGTAATTCTGACTGCTACTCCTTCCCTCCCACCTATTTGTACAAAAGACCTCCACCCCCTTTGCTTTCTCCGCAGGCAGAGGCCTTCCCCATGCTGCTCTCTAACCGTGTTCCAGCTGAGGCTACGTGGCCCAGTGACCCGGGAACGCAGATGGGGGCCAGGTCTCAGCCGTTCCCTGCAGCAGCCCCCCCCTCCTGCTCCAGCCCGAGGCTGCCAGTCCCTGTGCAGCGCTAACTTGTGCACAGGGCTGGTGCTTTGCTCCCGAGCCGGCTGCTTCCTTCCTGGCCTGATTCCTCCAGGGCCCGGAACATGTGCCTGTTGTTGGCACGAGGCCAGGTCTTTGAAGGAGTTCTCCTGCCAAGAAGTAAGCGGGAGTATTCCTGGCCAGTGTGCTCAGGCAAGAACCTCCTGGCCCTAACCCAGGAAAGATCCAGCAAAAGGGAGCTTCAAACTCTGCCCTGGTGTGCCAAGCACTACACGGACCCTCACAACAACTGTGCAAGGCAGGTATCGCTCCCATTTTGCAGATGGGGAAACTGAGGCTTGGGTTCTTTTACCCCATGTCCAGTGACCATCCTTCCTCTCTTCCATGAGGTGTCCTGGCTTGGTAGAGGATGAGGAAGCAGAACAACTAAGCCAGGGGCATATCCTCCTCAGCTTGCTACATGGTGAGATGGTTTCAGGGTTTCCAGAGAGTGGAGAAGCAAAGCTGCCTATCTTGCTCTTCTCCAGCCACTTCTAAAAAAACCTCATGAGGGGAGGGAGTGAGGGTGTGGAGAGTCTGCTGTCCTGAATGGCTGATTTCCTATGCAGAAAAGATTTCAGTGGGTCTTTTTCTTGAAAAATTCGTTAAGTTTACATTTGGATTTAAAAATAGTATTTTAATAAGTTTAATTAGTATTCATTTAATAAATAATTCTGTTAATAATGTCTTTAGAATCAATATTCAATTTAAGATACAAATTTAAAAGCCTTTCTTTGGCTTTTAAGTTCAACTCACAAATTTTATTATTCTATTTATAAGTCTAGCAGATTCTAGCATTAATTTTGGAGAATTCTTTAAATAACGCTTGGTCCTATTTACAAGCTTAGCTCAGCACTTCAAACACTTTTAAATACATTTATAAATTTAATATTTCTTTTTTAAGTACTTCAGTTTTTCTGACAGCATATAAAATCTTCCCCTTCTAACTTCTTATAGAGAAACTAATAAATTAAGCTTATAAATAAGGGAAACTTTAAATGTTTTCACACTCTACTTAAGCTTAGATGACACCATAAAAAATCACAAGTCTTAATTAATTACTCAATTATACATTTTAAAATGGATTATAAAACTGTCACCGATCAGGGCCTTATTCTCTTAAATACCACATGTGTCTAAAATACCAAATATGCATAGATTCCTTCCTTACATAAAAGTCTTAGTGCTCTAGTTTGTTTCTTTTAAATCTTCCCACACTTGAGTCTAAACTTCCTGGCGTGCTGCTTGTGAAGCTGTTGTCTCTCAGCTTCAGGCCTTTTCCGCATTTTGGGATGCTGGGGCTGGAAGTCTAAAACCAGTTGTGCTGGGGCTGGAAGTCCGAAACCCCAGTTCCGCTTTGCGGGGCTCCGCCTGTAGGAGGCACTGGAGGGCGGCTGGGAGGCTGGGGTGGGGTGGGGGTAGTGAGAAGAGACCGCTCATCCCTGTTTCCTGCCTTTGTCAACATCCTGGGGCAGACAGGTGGGCCCAGTGGCAGCACCTGGGATCAGTTTGCAGCTTTTCCTCCCACAGGCAGCCTCAGGACATCTCCCCTCAGAGCCAGCAGTACCAGCCGGCCTGGGCCCTCCTCCAAGCCCTTTCGAAGTCAACCATCCCCAACTGGGGCTTTTGTTTCCCTCCTTCTAAGGGTGGTACCTGCTTCCTGCACTTTCCACTTCTGAGATTCCTCCATGTCTCCTCTTTGCCAGCTGACTTGTCCAATACCGGATTAACAATTCTGTATGTTAAATTCTCTGTTCCATTGGTAGATGCGGCTTTTGCCCCCTGACTAGACTCTGGCTGATAAACCACTCACTAAAGAAGGCATGGACCCTCTCTGTTCACCCAGGTTACTAACGACCAGAAATTTCCTCTGGGTATGCGACCCAGAGCTGTAGACATGCACAGCGATTCTTCTCACCCTGACCGAAGGACACCAAAACATCTTTTCAAGTAATTTTGGCGGACTGTTCTTCACATTCCTGAGTTTACTGGTGAAGCATATTTGACTCTTGTCAGAATCCCCAGAGACACTGGATGCTGTTTATGATTGCTTACTCATTAACTTCATAACCTAAGAGACGTGACCTTGTAGGCAATTGTCTTATCTAATTGCCTCGTTCTTCAGTCTCCCTTCAGAAGTATGCCCCTCTCACCAAGTCACACATTAAATTGGTTCTTATTTTCCATGGTCTTTTGGCCTAGGTCTGGGCCTCTGAGAAGAATCCGAAGCACTATAAATAGAGGCTTCTAAATTCTTGCAGGTTCTCGGGGCCACATAACTTTTAACAAATGCCTAAACTTCAGTCTGATATCAATTAAATATCTCAGCTTTGTCTGGGCGCCAACTTTCTTTTTTTAAAGATTTATTTTTTGGAGAGAGAAAGCACGAGCGGGGGTGGGGGAGGATCAGAGGGAGAGAGACAAGCAGACTCCACACTAAGTGCAACACGGGGGCTCGATCCCACAACCCTGAGGTCATGACCTGAGCTGAAACCAAGAGCTGGACACTTAACGGACTGAGCCACCAAAGCGCCCCTGGGGGCCAACTTATAAGGTCATTCCTCTCCCTGTTGACTGAACTAGGATCAAGTCAGTCGCCTGCCAACAGAAACTTTTGATGCCCACTCTAAGGCAGTTTTGAGAAGGGCTCAATAAATGGAAGTAGTGTAACACTTCTGCTTCTAGCCAGAGGGGAATGGCTTGTATCAGATTAATCTTCCTGCCAAGATAATGATAAAAGCTGGACACAATATATAGGGCAACTGTTTGAAGG